ACCCATTTACAGCCAATAATATTCATACCTGCAGTGGGTGGAACTAGAGACCATGTGTGGTTATGCAGGAGAGCATTGAATTCTTGGTCCATGGCTTCACGCCACTCAGGATATTTGACAACTTGAGAGTAACATGTGGGTTCCGTGGGATGCACTTGAGCTGCTAGAGCAAAAAGAGGAGCATCTGCGTTGCTGCGAGTGGCCATAGAGTGAGTACGGACATTGGGCCTGATGGACCGCCCACGTGGACGGCCTCGCCGGCGAGCAACAGGCTCCACAGGATCACCCGACGAGGCAGCCTGTCCAGGATCCACGACTGGTTCGAATGAAGCAGGTAGCGGCGGTTCTGGCAGCTCATCATTGGACACGGCAGGAATAGGTGTGCTGTGACTGAGAACAGATTCCGCCCAAGGTCCAGAAAACGGAATAGATAGATCCTGCAAAGAAGTTTTAGTAGCAAAGGGGAAAACTTCTTCATCAAATCTGACATGCCTGCATGTGTAAATCTTATTAGTATGTAAGTCCATGCATCTGTACCCCCTAAAGGACTTAGGATAACCTAGGAAGACACATGAAGAAGACCTGTATGACATCTTATGACGATTATATGGTCGAAGATAAGGGTAGCATAAACACCCAAAGACACGAAGAAAAAGATAGGAAGGAGAGGATTTATGTAACAGGAGATGAGGACTGGAGTTATTTAATACAGAAGATGGCATTCTGTTAATTAAATAGACAGCAGTCTCAAAGGCAAAATCCCAAAATTTCAAAGGAACAGAGGCATGAGCTAGAAGAGCCAGACCAGTTTCAACAATGTGAAGATGTTTTCGTTCAACACGACCATTCTGTTCATGTGTATAGGCACAGGATTGTCTATGTTGAATTCCTAATTGAACAAACAAAGAATGCAACTTTTTGTACTCAGCACCTAAATCAGACTGAATGGCCTTTATTTTGCAATTAAAGGACCGTTCAACAAGAGTACGAAATTTATCAAAGATGACATAAAGATCAGACTTTAATTTCATAGGAAAGAACCATGTATAACGGGAATAGTCATCCACAAAGATCACAAAATAACGGAAGCCAGAAGTAGATAAAGTGGGCGCAGGACCCCAAATGTCTGTGTAAATAAGATCTAGGACTTGAGAACTAGAGGAAGCAACACGGGGGAGGGGAAAACGGGCAGATTTGCCTAATTGACACGCATTGCATAAAGAATTATGACAACGAATATTATCATGAGACCCACTAACCAAACAAGAACGAAGTATATGGCTAAGAACACGGTTATGAGGATGACCTAGACGATTGTGCCAAGTGGAAGCCGAGGCACGAGCGGAAATAAACGCTGACGGAGACGAACTAGGTAATGAAAGTGTGTATAGTCCCCCCGAACTATTGCCCCGAAGAAGTATTTCCTTGGTATTGATATCTTTTACAACAAAAAAGGAGGGGTGAAACTCAAAAAAGACTTTATTATCGGATGCAAACTTCTGAACAGATAATAAAGAATTAGACAAACACGGAACGTGAAGTATATCAGACAATGTAAATGATCTAGAAGGGGTATTAAAAGAGGCATGGCCAACATGACTAATAGATAAACCCATATCGTCACCGACACGTAAAGTATCATTACCAGTGTACTTCTCCAATGTAGAAAGGGCAGCGATGTTCGGAGTTGCATGATTTGTGGCTCCAGTGTCCGGAACCCAAGTATGAGAATTTGATGAGGTTTTAGCAACTAAACCATTCTGAAACACCAAATTAGCCTGAGAACCCGGAGCCCCTGAATATCGCCGAAAATAGTTGACTCCCGTGTGACCGAAACTTTTGCAAATTTGACACGGATCATTATAGCGCCAAAAACAATTGGCTCCCGTGTGACCAAAACGTTTACAAATTTGACACGGATCATCATAGCGCCAAAAACAATTGGCTCCCGTGTGACCAAAACGTTTACAAATTTGACACGGATCATCATAGCGCCAAAAACAATTGACTCCTGTGTGGCCGAAACCTTTACAGATTTGACACGGATCATCGAAGCCATGTTGCTGACCTCCACGGTAATTAAGGCTGCCATCGCAGCGCTGCATCTTCTTAATTTTATGAATCACAAAACCCTAGCTAACTGATACCAGATGAGAACTGATTGTATTATATTTTTCTGAACTTGATTACAATGAGATCAGATGATGTGAATATATAGAATAGAGAGTCACAGTGTGACAATGATAAGAAGTAGAGAGTCACAGTGTGACAAGGATAAGAAGTTCTAAACAGACTCATATACATAGAGTCCTAATAGTCAGGACATAAATAAACCTAACATTTTTTTTATTGCTACTCGCTCTATTATAATGTAGTATCTGTTCATAACTACTTTCTCAACCTACTAAAACACAAAGAGTCAATGCCACCTCCACTGAGGCTCAAACCCATAACCTCCCATATGGGAGTGCAACCTTGGTGTCATTAGACCACAAGGTCTTAGCAAATAAACCTAACATACATACACAATAAATAATTTCAAAAATTGCACATTAAGTAATCAACTTGTATAAAAAATTGCAAGATAAATAATTTCATAAAGTGTACATACCTCAAAATCAAATTATGTAGACTCCACTTATTGCGAACAAAGTGCGTTGTAATAGCCATATATCCCTTCTTTTGATTAGATGTTGTCCACATATCCGTAGTCAATGCAAACCTACTTGAGATTCTATTCGTAGACTCAATAAGTGTGGTTTTTTGAACCTCATACATCTTTAAAATATCTGACCAAATTGTATCCCGACTAGGCATCTTCAACAAAGATTGAGCAATATTCATGAATTCCCTAAAACCAAAATACTCAACCATATTAAGTGGATACTCGTGCTTAACAATCATACGAGCAAGTGCATGTCTAGAGGCTATGGGGTAAAATGTGTAATTGTTTATATTCACTTTCCATCCTTGTCTTGATTTAAGGTCAGTGTTTGTTGCCTTAAGTGTTGGTAAGGTCTCATTCTACAAATTTTGGGATGATCATGCAAATGTTTTGTACCATTTTTACTTTCCCCGCCAAGTAACTTCTTACAATAATTACATTTCACCTTGTTTATCACATTAAATTTAATATTTGTTAAATGATCCCTAACAATCTACCTTAATCTCTTCTCAAAAAAAAAAAAAAAAAAAAAAAAGACTGAAGTGTCAAATAGGCTCATTTACTATTGCGAAGTTATCACTTCCCACCACGAACTAAATTAAGTGTCAAATAGGCCCATCTACCAACTAAATTTGTTCGATTAACTTTTTTTGTAGGTTGCCTATTCAATTATATATATATATATATATATATATATATATATATATATATATATATATATATATATATATATATATATATATATATATATATATATATATATATATATACTAGCATTGTGTACGCGCGATGCGCGAAAATTCATGCCCAATATTAAAACATTGATAAATTCAAATAATTAAAAATTATAAATTGAATGATATATATACAAATAATATATGTATTTTGTACACACATATAATTTATCATTCATAGAAATTTAATTAAAATATAATTAAAGTATTAAATTAATATATAATGATTTTAATAAAATGATAATTAAAAATAGAAAAAAGATATGATAGATATATGTGTATGGTAATAATGATGTGTTATTAAAGTTAGAATTAAAAACTAACGGTGTTATAACGGTGTAAGGATAGTTTTGTCTAATAACATTGGAATGTACAACATTTAAAGTAAAATGTACACATTTATTTGCATACAAAAAGAGGGACATAAATCAAGGATATAACTTTCATTGAGGCTTTTATATATATATATATATATATATATATATATATATATATATATATATATATATATATATATATATAACAAAAAAAAAAAAAAGAATTTCAGCCACCGGCTGTCCGCGCCTGACAGCCGGTGGCTGCGTATTTCACAAACAACCGTGACTGTCCGGCGAGGACAGCCGAACAACCACAGCTGTCAAACATGAGGTTTAGATGTATAAATTCAAAGCATAAATATATAAATTCAAAGCATATATATACGATCAGAACATATAATCAGATGGATAAATGTATAAATTCACAGATCATATAAATATGCAATTTGAGGCATCTCTTCAAATAATAAGGCTTAGAAAACTCATAAAAGTACCGTTCACCGGAATTTAGCGTGCTGATAACGTGTTGTGATGTTGTGCCCGTTGGCCCGTTAGCTCCTAACCGGTGAGTTTGTATATCAAAGTATAATTAACAATGGAATTGAAATGCATAGAATAATTGATAAGAATGAATCAAGGGAGAAGAGCCAATGTTTCATTTCACTAGCCAACAACTTACAAATGGAGTACACATATATATAATGTACAAGTATAACTATTGTATTTAATGGCAATAATGTGACCGTTACAAGTGTTATAAACACTATAATAATGTCCGCTTAATAATATTATTTACAATAAAATAAACCACTATTATTCTAGATATGCAAATCACAGTATCGTTAATGCAAAGATGAGACACCAGCATATCAATACTCTTGGGAGACCCATGAATTAACATAACGCCAATAGCAGCATTAATATTATTATAAGGCCTCTGAAAACTATTGATTGATAGATTAAAACTTAATCAACTTAAACAATAGTTTGTAATTCTTAATGGCCAAAATAACAATTAAATCCTTAAATTCTTAATGTCTCAAAACCAGGGCCGTTCCAATCAAAATTGGGGTCCTGCGCAATATTTTAATTTGAGCCCCTTTTTCAAGTAATTTTTATATATAAATAATAGTTATTCAAAAAGTTGTGTCAAAAATTCAAAATATAAATATTGTATTAAAAAAATACATCTAAATTAAAATTTCATTTAAAAAGTGAAATGCGCCGTGCACACTTAGACGCAAAATCATCTACTAAACTTTTGATATCAATTTCTTCCAAAATCTCATTTTCAATAGAGATTAAAGCTAATCCACTGAGTCTCTCTTGCAACATGCTTGATCGTAAGTAAGATTTCAACAATTTTAACTTTGAAAAACTCCCTTCTGCAGAGGCAACAGTAATTGGGATAGTTAATAATATTCGATATGCAATAGTAGCATTTGGAAAACAACTCATCTGTTTCAATGAATTCAATATACTCACTGCTCCTATATTTTCTTTCGATAAAATCTCTCTAAGTAATTTTAGCTCAATATACAATTCATTTCCGTCAATATCACCACACTGTTCATCTCTCTTAAGAGGTGCTTCTAAACAAATGCAACAAGACTTCAAATCCATATCAGCCATCAATTGTAACTTGTGAGAACTAAACAAAAAACCAAAAGTTCCTTCATATACTTCATATTGCTCAAACCTTTGAGTCAATGAAATAATAGCTTGATCTACAATGTATAAAAAATAATGAACCCTAAAAGATTCTTCTGGTGATAATGAATTATCATCAGCACTCTCATCAAATTGTGTTTTTCTACGAATTTTTCGCTTTTGAGGAAACATTGGCTCAATTTCTAATCCAGTGGCAATTTCCTTTGCAATATCCATGGCAGTAGAAAAATCATTTTCTCTATAATTCTTGAAGAAAGAAACTAACCCTTTAATTTGATTAATAGCAACATCAAGAAGCATATCTTTTGTTTGTAATTGCTTGCTAATTATATTAACCATAGATAAGATTTCGAACCAAATGATTGTGGCTAGCAAAAATTCAAAGTTACTAAGCTCATTTGTAGCTAAAGATTTTGCCTCACTTTGAATTTTAGAATCACTGTCTGTATCTGCCACTTGAAGTAGGGCTTCTCGAATATCACTGACTTGATATCTAATTGCTTTAACACTTTCTACACGACTTTCCCATCGAGTAGATGGCAATGGCTTAAGAGTTAGATTTGTTACATTACTTTTCAAGATATGCCACCTCTTTGTGGAATTAGCAAATATTGTGTAAATACTTTGCACTACTCCAAAGAAATCACTTGCTTTGCCACAACTATTTGCAACGTCACACGAAGTCAAGTTAAGATTATAACTACCACAAGGACTATAAAATGCTCTACGATTTATATCCAAGAGTCTTTTTTGTACACCTTGATGTCTCCCTCTCATATTTGACCCATTGTCATAACCTTGTCCCCTTACATTATCTATATCAAGATCAAGTGATATCAACACATTTTGTAATACTTCAAAAAGACCTTGGCCGGTAGTGTCAATCACAACCAAGAATTTCAAGAAGAACTCTTCTATTTTAATTGGATAAGTTGATATATCCACACATCTTAAAATCAAAGACATATGTTCTTGGTGACTGACATCAGGAGTACAATCTAATATCACTGAAAAATATTTTGCTTCTTTTATTTTTTTGATGACTTTTCTTTTAACTACAGTGGCAAACATAAATATCAATTCGTTTTGAATCTTATGACCAAGATAATGATGATGAATATCACGATTTCTGGCACGTAAAACATACTCTTGAATGATAGGATCAAACTCAGCCAGCATTTCAATTAGACCTAAAAAATTCCCATTGTTATTCTCATTAAATATTTGAATTAGTTTAAATAAATTGAGTAATAGACAAATACCTGTGTTGTAGAGTGTAGACTGCAATCAGAAATTGCGTGAGTATCTCGTATGTGGTCTGTCCGTCCTCGTAATTCTGAATTCGTACGGTACTACGGTAGATGCCTACTACCTAGATTAGGGACTTAGGTAATTTAGGTTGGTTAGGTTAATAAATTTGTGGCTTGGCTTTGTTTGAATTGAATGATGATTGCTATTTGCTACGCTGCATGTGATCGTGAATTCGTGATATATATAAATACTAATTTTTTTTTTAAAAAAATAAGGGGCCCCCAAAATTTGGGAGCCCTGGGCAGACTTGCCAGGGTCGGCCCGAGTAGTTATGCCGTGCATCCATACAGATGCAAAAACGACGTCGTTTTATTAAAAACGCGCGTCTCCCCTTAAAAAAAAAAATTCAGGTTCGATTCCCAGCAGCAGCATTGTGTTGTTCATTCATTATGGAATTTTAGTTCATAGGTTATGGAATTTTAGTTTATAGATTATGGAATTATAGTTCATCGATTATGAAATTGTACTTCATCGATTTTGAAATTTTAGTTCATAGATTATGAAATTTTAGTTCATTCATTCTGGAATTTTTAGTTCATAGATTAGATTCTGGAATTTTAGGTCATAGATTCTGGAATTATAGTTCATCGATTCTGGAATTATAGTTCATCGATTCTGGAATTTTAGTTCATATGTTGTTGCTGGGAATCGAATTTGAATTTTTTTTTAAGGGGAGACGCGCGTTTTTAATAAAACGACGTCGCTTTTGCATCCGTATGCACCATGCATGGTGCATACAGATGCACAACATAATTTGCAGGTCAGCCCTGTCATCTACATTATATAAGGCATATTTCCCTCCCTTTAAGGGGGAATCATCCGAGCACTACAGGCACCCTAGTCTAGTGGCCGGTTTCTGGTCTATATCTTAAACCCAGCCACCTGGGTTCCCTATCAGTAACATAGTTAGCTATAGCCCATTTCTTGGGCCGTGATCTTTGTATTTGGGCCGTCAGTCTAGGCATGTACCTTGGGCTTTATACGTACTATTTTGGGTTTATCGCCCCGGGTAATAAAGCTACTATTTTCTTACCCCCGTTCTATACCTATATACCCTGTACTATTTTGGGTCTAGCGCCCCAAGTAATAAAGCTACTATTTTCTTGCCCCCCATTCTGTACCTATATACCCGGTACTATTTTGGGCATAGCGCTCCGGGTAATAAATCTACTATTTTCTTAACCCCCCCTGGTTCTGTACTTATATACCCGGCACCATTTTGGACCTAGCGCCCCGGGTAATAAAGCTACTATTTTCTTACCCACGTCCTGTATCTATATACCCGGTACTATTTTGGGCTTAGCGCCCCGCGTAATAAAGTTACTATTTTCTTACCCCCGTTCTGTACCTATATACCCGATTTATGGTGGACCCGGTCCCAATAAAACCATCAATATACTTGTTTAATTTGGAAAAAGATGAAGACTTATTACAAAATAAAAATAAAACTTTCAATATTTTGCTTATTATATTAGATATATATGTTATTTTTAAAAAGAAATAAAAGTTAAAATAATTTTGACATACATGTTAATTTTTATTTTTTTTTTGAAGATGAAAAATTAATTGATTAAATCATAATCAAGAATGTTTAGGAAAGATGGTGAAGAGTCTAGCCACTCTCCGCAACTTAACTTAGAAAATGCCTCCCTAGCAACAGAGTAGGCGGCACAATTCGCAGATCGCTTAACACAACGAAATTCAACATCATCGATTTCAGATGCTAACTTTTTAATATCATCAATTATGAAACCAAAAGCAGAATTAACAGATGACGAACTAATATCATTAAAAACAATTTGACTATCCGTTTTCATGTCCACACAACCCATACCTATATTTTTCAAACAGCTTAAAGCATCCCGGATGCTTAATGTTTCAGCTTCCTTCACCATAAAAATCTCAGGCATTATCATATATATATATATATATATATATATATATAATATGTTATTTTTAAAATTTTGACTTTCAAGTATACTTTGCAAAAAATCTCTCTCTTAAATAAAATAATTTCTTCTTTGCAAATTTTGACCACACTTAAGCGGGTCAAAGTATCTATGAAATCTCAGTACTATAGTATCTTGTTCAATTTAGTCATTGAACCTTTAGGGGCCGTTTACTAACTGGAAATTTCTGAAAATTTCTGGAAACTGAAAAATAGAAAACAGAAAACATGTTTACTAACACAGTTTTCATTTTCAAAACTGAAAATAATTTCTGAAAATTTCCGGAAAACTGAAACACACTTAAAAACTGTTTTCAAAATAGAAAACAGAATCATCTATCATCTATTTAGTTATATGTCACTATAACCACATTACTATGATTACATTCATTATCATCTTATTTTACTTATCACTATCTTCTATCTTTTCTATTTACCTTACTTAAATAAACATAATTTATTTGCTTATACTTTAAAGTTAGACATTATTTACATTATCAAAATTAAGAATTAAACTCTATATAATGTTTTAGATTTTGATTGAACTCAATAAACTAAATTTTAGGTGAAAACTAAAAAAATTAGAAAACAGAAAACAGAGAACAGTTTATGTTAGTAAACAAGTTTTCTAAACAGAAAACAGTGAATAAAAACTGAAAAATTAAAAAATGAAAACAGAAAACAGTTTTCTGTTAGTAAACGGACCCTTATTCTTCTCAATTTAGTCACTTTATTTAAAAAAGTGATGAAATTAAGGATAATTGTCCAAATCTCATCAGGAACATGGTTGTAATTATTTATTTTGAACATATTAATTTAATATATTAGTGATAAAATAATTAATTTTAAATACTCCGTATTTATAAAATAATATATGAGTAAGAATTTAAATGTCGTCACTGTCAGGTAATTTAAGTTAACGATAATATTAACACCGTTAACTATTGTTATTAATTGTACCATTTTTAAAAATATAGTAATTAAATTGAATAAAATAAAAATATAAGGATTAAATTGAATAAAATGTTATACTACTGTAACCCACCTAAGCGCGAAAGAACTACTAAATTAAAACAAAAACAAAACTTAGGTTTAGCGCAAAAACAAAACTTCAGCGCCTTGTCTCGCCGAAGTCGTCCCGAAGTCCTCCGACAGTGCCGTCCAACCTCCGCCGCCGTCGCCGCCTCATCCCTCCGTTTTCGTCGTTCCAACCTCCGACAGTGTCTCTTCCCACCGTCGTCCTCTTCCCGCCGTTGTCCTCTTCCCGCCGTCGTCCTCTTCTCGCCGTCGTCCTCTTCCCGCCATTAAGCTCCTACAGGTTAGTCCTCTATTTTTTAACCCTAATCCCTAGTTTCTTAATTGTTTTTGTTGAATTTTCCATATGTGAATGCTCCTGAAGAACAGAGTGTGGCTGTGAGGGGGAGAGGAATTGAAAAACCAATCTCTTCATTTTCATCTTTATTCTTTTTAAAATTCAGAAAATGTCATGAATTTCTTACACATTACCTTCATTGATAATATTTTACCCATATTCTCTCGACTGCAGAGCACATTAAAATTAAATAAGGGGACTTATTTACAAAATACTACAAGGAAAATAGAAAGGTAGCATCACAAAATCTGGACCACCAAAGGAAGAGAGGACTTTGAAACTACAGAGTCTTTCATTACATTCCACTTTAATCGAACCCATACACTTAGGAAAAACCAAAAAGAAAAGGACAGAAACCACAAATGTTTGAGATTAAAATGGGATATAAGCAAACAATAATTTGTAGCAATGAGAATACTGAAGTGAGGGTGAATTAGAAGTTTCTTGGGTTGTCTTCTAGCTATACATTCAACTTAGGGTGATGACCAATAAACAACTAGAGAAATTTAGAAATTTAACCAATTCCCTATAACTTAAGTAAATTAGGAAAATTAATTCAATTAATCCAAATCAACTTAGTCAAATAATCCAAGCAATTGCTAAAGCTACCAATAAGAGTAGCATGCATTAAAACAAGATTTTACCATTTAGGGTCATAGAGTAGAGGTGAGCAATTCAAGCATATACTATGTATATATTCGAATATATTATTGAATATTGAATGTTGAATTGTATTATGGCCGTGTTAATTTGTGGTTATTAAACTAGTGTTGTTGGATTTTGTATTGTGAACTTCTATTGTTGGATTTTGTATTATGAAGTATGAACATAGTTTTGTAGTTATTGATTGATTGTAATTTTGTAATGTGATTCATGGATTTGTGGTTATATACTTATATATTAGTTTTGTATTATTGTATTAGGTATTTATTTATTTATTTATTTATTTTTATTTTTTTTTTACAAATATGTATCCATTACAAAGGCTATAACATGTAGGTCGCCCTCTGACATTGATGATGTAAACCTCTTTTATTTTACGAGTATATACATATTCCAGGGCGTCTCCCATCAATACAGAAAACCCTTCCATTCACTCTTGCAGCAACCAATGGGGAAAAGAGCTAAGAGTTCCAGAAAGGGAAAGAAGGCATGGAGAGCCAACATAAGCACCGAAGATATTGAAGACTTCTTCGACAATTCCACAAAAGATGCTCTTTCTGGCGGCTCTCTGGCTGATGTTCCTAGTGAATCCCTCTTTTATGTTGACAAGTCCAGAGGTATTTTTATTTCTTTTATTTTCAGATTTCCAGAAAGCTTTCAATCTATATGCTGATATATGTCCGCAAGAATTTGTATTACAAAACTGATTGATTATGTTTGAAATTTGGTATTTTTACTTTAAACTATGTTAATGACTGAATAAATTACAACATTACAATTTTTATGTGGGAGGGAGTAAAGTGGCTGACTTTGAGGTTCTTTAATTCTGTAAAGCTATGATTTTTCTAGAATTATTAGATTTTTGAGCTCAACTAGATGGGTGGTTTTAAAATTGAAAGATATGATGCTATGTAATCCTTGATTTTCAGTCTTGGTCCTTAAAGTACTACTTGGAGTTTGGGCAAGAGGTGGTTAGCACTTAGCACTGAAACACTGTTGAAAGTTTGTAGAAATGAGGAAGTTTATGATCACTTTATATTGGTTGGTGGATAGATAGTAGTTTATAATATATGTTAGTGGTCTGTGTCTTTGCTTTAGTTAGCCTGGTGGAAGGTGAGCTAAACAGGAATAGGGGATAATTTTTTGAAATATCATCTTGGTTGTTGAATTGACACAACAGAAGATGGTGGGAAAGATTAATTGTCCAGTCGGTGGCAGGAGAACTGTGCAACTCCAAATGAACGCACCAAAGTTTGGCCACAAATTTCTTGGCCAAATGTCATCACATCCTCACATTATTAGCTGTTTGCATGTGCTTTGTTTGGGTCTTAACTGAAGTATGACACTGCTAAAGAGTGAACTTTTTGCCTTAACATTCTCCCTCTCTTTGGTGGTGGTGAATTGAATATGTCTATGTTTACACTTCAGATCTTTCAGCCAAGCGCAAAATTGAAAAAAAGAGGGATAAAGTACTTCATTTTGAGAGTTTGCTGCAGAAAAATGCTTTTGTTCAACCAATACCATCTTCAACTACAAAGAAGTCAAAGAAGAAAAGTAAAGATGCTAAAAAGGCCAAAGATGCTGCTGAAGAGTGTCAAAAGGTAGGAACTTCAAGAACTGATTTTGCTGGATTTATAGACCTCAATCCCATCAGATGCTGTACCTCTATGATCTTTGTTGACCTGCTTTTTTATGTGATTTAGGATGCTGCTGCCACAGGTTCTGGCCTTGTTGACATATGGAATGAAACAGGTATCCATCTTTAACTAGAAATCCCATGTATCATGTATGATTTGTTATTTTCATCCTAATATGTCTTTCAAGACTGAGACTTGCATTGTATTGTTGTAGGTGAAAAGACTGTTAAAACAAAAAGGGTAAATAATGTTTTAATTGTTACATTACTTTTAGAGAAATACTTTTGATTTTGAAAATTGATGTTCATTCCGAAAATTATTTTCCTCTTCTTTTTCTTCTTTTCTTCTTTGTGGTGGGGGTGCTTGTCACTCTTTCCTTATTGCAGAAATCGGTGACTTCTATTATACCTGCTGTGGAAGTTGATCCACAAGGATGCTCATTCAATCCTCCCTCTGAAAGCCACCAGGTTATTTTTGATATCTGATAATCACATTTTCTCTGACATTGGTTTTATTTATGGTACATTATTACATTATGCATTCATCTCTTTGTGTTCCCAGGATGCATTAGCCTCTGCCGTTGCAGATGAAATGCAGAAAGTTTATCGGGATGAGTTGGGGCCTGAGCCTATTCCTTTAACTGTTCCTGGAGAAATAGTTGATGAAGAAAATGTTAGTGCATTTATTCTATTTCCTGTTTATTGGAATTTAGCATCTGCAATTTGCATTTGCTCACTTCCCTCAGTATCCTTTACAAAACTGTCTAACAAGCCATTATTTCAGATTTACTTCCTTGATGCAGATGACGGGAGTGATGATGACGATGAAAATCTGATTGAAGATGGAAACCTGGATGTGGAGAAGAGGTTTGCTTCATTCGATTGCTTACACATGTCTACTATATGATTGTTAATGAAATGTTATACTGTTATCTTCTCATAACATAACATGATCGATAAAGAATTTATTCACATGCTACAGAGATTGAAGGATACAAATTTCAGGGTTGAAAATTTACTAATTCATTCAAGCTGATTCATGGCATGGATGCATCATAAAATTGAATTTGCAGTCTAAGAGTATCATGTTATGTGTCATGATGCATCTTAATATGCACTTGAAATTAACAGTATTTACATAAAACCGTAGAAGTATAGCGTATTAGCGTTAGAAGTCTCATGAAATTCAATTTTTTTATCACAATTCTGAAGGCTGCAAAAGACCAAAGTGGTGACCAAAGTTGAGAAGAACAGGAGGGCTAGACGCAAAGAACAGTTAAAAACTGAAGCAGAAGCCAAAAAAGTGGAGAACCTTTCTAAAGAAATTGACAGGTATATTTCAGCTGGTTCCTGCAAATCTCTCTTAGTGGATTGATTTCTTGTACACATAATCTTATTGTCTCTAAGAAGTTTTTCTTGTGCAGCTTGTCAGATATCATTCAAGAAATAGCGAAAGAGGATGAAGAGAAACAGAAAAGACATCTCCGCCGTGTTGTTGCTAAACAAGAAAGACTAAAATCTTGTCCACCACGTCTAGGGAAGCGCAAGTATGGTGTTTTTATGTTTATGGCCCCGTTTGTTGGGGGGTGGGGGGGTGGGGGGGAGATGGGGGTGCAGGGCTTACTATCTTAGAATGCTTTTAAAAGAAGTGGTCTTCAGAAATCTTGGGGCTGAAATGATCATTGTGGATGATTCTAAATGGTCATCATGGATGATTGCAACTCACACTTTTAGATGCATGCTTTCCCTCATCACACATTTAATTGTGTTGGGAGTTCTGTGTCTTAGCTTAGGCATTCGAAAATGATAATGAAACCAGATCCATTTCTTTTCTTTTCACTTTCTACTTTCATTCTTTCCACAGTATATAATCTAATTGCTACATGTCAATCGCAGATTTCAACCTGCTCCTGTTCAAGTCTTATTATCAGAAGAGATTACCGGTTCCCTTCGTCAACTAAAGGTTTTTCTTTTGATTCACATTATACTTTAACACGTTGTCAGATATTTGATTTATTTGAAGTTTTTGAAACTTTGACGTTTAGTTTAGATTCAAGGCAAAAATTCTCAACACATTCACTTTTTGTTTTAAACAGGGATGTAGCACCCTTGCAAGGGATCGATTCAAGAGCCTGGAGAAAAGAGGACTGGTTGTCCCATCAAAGAAGACCTCCAGGTCAATTGACTTTGTTGATTAGTCATATTTGTGTCTATCCATCATTTTCTTCGCATGAGTTCTAGCATTTTTATCAAGTTTAACAGATTTAACCATCTTTCCCACCAATTCTCTTTGAACATTCCTCCACATCCATTGTACCTTACATATTACTACAATTATAGGCATCCATTTACCGCCATGAATCCTATGCCCTAGTCTAGGTTACCAATAGTTGACTGACTCAAACCAAGCAGGTAAGGATTCGAACTTGTGACTCAAACCAAGCGTGGATCTCTTGCCATCTTGGCTGGGGCTACACCATGATGTGTGTGTGTGTGTATGTTCTTTGTTTTTTGATGTATGTACGGTAAATAGGCATGCAGCGTGCTAACTTTTTGGAATTCAAATTATATTTTCAGGAAGTGATTGTGAGGTCATGGACCGGCTCATTGGCTATATGTCTCCTGCCATTGGTAGGCTGTTTGAACTTTGAAGTCCTCAGTAGTGAGCTTCCCATGTATTTGAAGGAGATTATGAAGCTGAAAATTTTGACAATATTTACCTAAAGTTTATGTGTTGCTTAAAAGTATACTAACTGGAACTCAAACCTGGGTTTTAATTATTTTTAATTTCATAATACAATGTTTAGTTGAAGTATAATAGAAATGTCTAGGCTACTAGTTCAAATTGGATAAAATTCAATATATTTCTTTGGTGTTGTCTATCTATTCTATCTTTTTATTTTTATTTTTCATAAAATGGAGTTATCTTATAAGGAATAACTTTTTGAAATGTGTAGGCTACTAATTCAAATGGTGTTTCTAAATTCTTAGTAGTAAAATACGATAATTTTTAGTCTTTGATATCAAAATAGAGTTAATTCCAGCAATGGTCCTTCGAGTATGATGATTTTTCAGATTTGGTCCCCGTCTTTTATTTTGGACAATTTAACTACCCGTCTATTAAATTTTTTTCAATTGAGGTCTTCCCGTCAATGGGTGGTTAAGTCAGCTTCAATTTCAGGGGCATATTGGTACTTTTGCTTACTATGCGTATTTGTACTCTTTATTCGACCATATATACGGGAATAAATACACAATGAAACCCTAGAAGCATCCGAAGTCATCTTCCTCATCGAAGTCCTCATCCGAATTCATCTTCCTCATTGAAGCCCTCATCTGAATTCATCTTCCTCATCCGAATTCATCTTCATCATCCGAAGCCCTCATTCGAATTCATCTTCCTCTTCCTTCCAGCGAATTAGCAGTGAGATGTCTAGAAGATATAGCAGCGAGAGCTCTTCATCTTCAAGAATGCAGGAATACATCTATGGTGAGTTGGTTTCTATTCCAAATTGTGAGTGTGGGCAACATCTGAAGCTTCAAACATCATGGACGAATGATAATCCCGGTAGAAGATATTGGTAATGTTTTATTGAAAATGTGAGTGCTTTCATTATAGTTAAGGGTTCTTATTGCAGTTGAAACAATTTAATTTTTTTTTTTCAAAAATCTGAGTGTGAATGTATTGTTTTTTCTTCGAGCAATACATTCTGTTAAGTATTATTTTAAGGCACAATGTCTGTTAAGTAAGGCAAATGAATTCAAAATGATATGCAATTATGGGCTTTTGGTGCAGGGAGGTCAAAGGTGTGGTTTTGTTAGATGGCATGATCCTCCAATGTGCGCAAGGTCAAGAAGAATTATTCCTGGTTTATTGAGAAGGATCAATCGAGATGAAGAAGAGATTGCACTGCTAAAAATGAGGCTACAAACTAATGTTGATGTCAAAAGAAGCAACTGTGGACATGGCAAGGGTATTAGAATATGTGTAGTTATAGCAGTATGCATTGTGTTATTTGTAGTTATAGCTGTGAACGTAGCTAGAGGAAAGAATAACCTTATGTTAGGTAGTAGTTCTGCTTATTGAAGAATTGTATTTGTAATTTGACAATTGTAAGTCTAAGCACAATGCAATCAAAATTCAGTTATGGTTTTGTGTATTAAACTGCTTCTGACAATGCATAATGCAATGTGAAAATGCATACCATATTTGCGCACTGCATACTGCAATCTGAAGGCCAAATACCATTTATAACAAAAATATCATATAAACAAGATCATCTGTATCATTGACAAATGTATTTCAAAACATACACTACTGGAAATTATGGAATTTCCGACCACCTGAAAGTGATCTTAAATCAAGTTGAAAGCCTTGTTCCGACCACTTTTGGTATCCGGAAAAACCTTTGTTGCTATTTCCGACCACTTTTTGAACTTTTTGGTATCAACTTAATTTAAGATCATTTTCAGGTGGTTGGAAATTCCATAATTTCCAGTAGTGATAGTAGATAGATCCCATTACATATCTAAAGGTCTGTAGACCCCAAAACACATCGGGGCATATAAATCCCATTACATATCAAAAGGCAATTGTCTAAGCATACATTAACACATGCCAAATAGTGACCTAACAATTCATAAAAGTCACTAATCCAAAAAAGCAGTAACTAGTAGTTCACTTAATCCAAAGTGATTGGATCTTTGTCATTCCCATAGAATTTAAACTTCAATGTGGTTGTTGATCTTGTACGATGCTTCTTGATTGGTAATTTCTTCCTAGTAGACTTGGTTCCATCACTTTGACCTTTTCTTTTTCCTGTTACTTGGTGGTTTCCATCAGTTTTATTGTGTTGTTGATCTGCACATAGTAATAGATTAGATGAAATTATATGTTTTGTTTTGACATTATAAGTGCACATGAATGGACTGGTAGTATAACTTACAAGCCACATTTGCTTGCATTGATTCTCCCACAACACTGACTGGAATGGACAGACTGGAACTTAGTGAAGGCCCTACAATACATAAGAGTCAAATATTTGCATTTAGATGGCACATGGATAAGCAGTATAACATACCTCTAACAATGTCCTTTGCCTCAATTTGGATTTGGTGTCATTGCTCATCCAAAATTTCATCAGGTATCTCCCATTGAGTCTCTTGAATTTCAGGTTGAGTAATTACATCAGGTTCAATAATTACAGATGGCTGAGCAACATCATGGACTTGGGGCTGAGCAGCATCATGGAATTGGGGCTGAGCAGCAACTTCATTTGTAACAGCAACATGTACTCCTTTTGACCTACAACTTGATTTTCTTCTTTTGACCTGCAAATTGATTATGTTATTTACCACAGCAAGTTAAGACAAATTTAAAGTCAAATTTGAAAGTATCTAACCTGATTGACAGGCCTGGAAACTAGGTATTTTGGACACTTTCTTTGGTTATGACCCAATTCTTTGCATTTGGTGCAATGTAAACTAACAAGGCTCCTTGACAAATACTGCCCACATTTACTTATCTCTCCTGCAGACTTCATCCTCAACTTTCTAGGCCTTCCAGGCCTTGCATTATACAGTGGTGGCAAAGGAGATGGTCTACTTGTTGCAGGCCATTCTTCATGACCTGACATTGGTTTTATACATCCATCATATGTTTGGCAGTAAGTTGAAATTGAGTAGCAAGGATCCACATAATGCCAAATAGGTCATTTCCCATTTTTCATCCATATTGCACACACAGCATGGGGGCAAGGGATTCTAGTAAGGTCCCATCTCCTACAGGAACAAGATCTTCTACCTAGATCAACAGTATACTGCCCAGTATGTGTCCCAATTACCTCAAACAACATGGGAGCACACTGATAGCCAATCATTCCACCTGCAGCTAACTCCATGTCATCAATTTTTTTCACAATAGTTGGACAGAGTAATCCAGTCCATTCAGCAGCTTTAGTCCTTGACTCAAATAGCCTTAGCATGATCTTTTTCCTAATTATCTCCAAGCAATTAATAACAGGACTTTCCCTTGCTGTCAAGATCATTGCATTGAATGATTCTGAGATGTTATTCACTAGGATGTCACAATTGGCAGCTGTAGTGAAGTGGGATCTAGACCACTCAAATGGGTGCTTATCACCAAGCCAACATAAGCATTTTCATCCAATTTTCTTAACTCAAGTAATGCTGTTGAAAAGTTATTCACAGTAGTGGCTCTTGCTGCTTTCCACAAGGCATCCTTTATAGCATTTGCAGTGAAACCAGCCACCCTCATGTTATTGTGCAAGTGTCTGACACAAAATCTATGCCTAACTCCTTGTAAGGTACTTTCACAAGCTTGTATGAGACCCTTTTGCTTGTCTGACATTAGTGTGTACTCACTCTGTATTAAGGGACCAAGCTTCAAGTCTTTCTTTAGAAACTGTAGAAACTAAGTCCAAGAGTCTTTGTTCTCACCTTCTACAACTGCATAGGCAATTGGGAATAAACTTTCATTTGCATGCTATTCCAACTGCTGTCAACAATTGTCCTCCAGTTTTACACTTCAAGTGACACACATCTAGGCCAATGATTTTCATGCAGTGCTTAAATCCTTCCCTTGTAGTTTCCCAACAGATATACATCCTTAAAAATCTCTATTTTCCATTTTCTAACAGGTCACTCACCTTCACTTCACAAGTACAGTTTGGATTAGTTCTTTTTATTTCCAAACAATAGCTCCAAATCTTATTGAAGTAATCTTCTGCTTCATGTTTAATTTCACCTTTTGATTTCACTAAAACCCTCCATGCTTGCTTCTTACTCAGAATGTAATGGTCATCAGTTAGGACTTTTTCTAAAAAGGAATTAGTTTTTCATTCCAAATTTCCTCTAATTTGCTGTTTCCATCTCTTAGCAACAATAGAGGAATTAACCATTGAATTATTCTGAGTCCTTACACAGCCATCATGTTTGTCCTTCACCACAATTACCCTCCAACATTTATCATCTTTATTAAACCTAAGGGTAACCTGCCAAGGACAGCTTTCATGCTTGCACTTCACCACACATCTAACTTTGTCATTTTTGTGATATTTCATTTCCTTCCCCTCCTTGATTGCATAATTTGTTATAGCTTCTCTAAACTCCCCTTTAACTTTAAAGGTCAGTCCCAATTCAAATTTAGGACAAGTATGTTCAGATTCTTTCAAAAACTTTTTCCATTTGATCCCTAAACCCTCACCATCACTGCCTACCATGTTCCCTTCATCAGAGTAGTTGACAATATCATCTACTAGTGGGGGTTGTATGGGTTGTGGGAGTTGGGGTTGTACATGACCTAAGCCTCCAAACTCTGCAGTAATATCTATATTTTTGACAAATTCTTCATCATCATGCACACTTATATCCTCTAACTCATCTGAATTGTATTCCTCATCAGTACCATCACATTCATCTCCACTGCCACACCACTCAAACCCACTGCCATCATACTCCTCTTCATTTGCACTGCCAACATCTGCATCATCACCAAACCCTCCTTTTACCATCCAGATTTCTAACACCTTAGGACTACAACATTGGTTAAGTAAATTCCAAACATCAAAGTCTTTAACCAATTCTTGCAACCCCATTTCTGTGACCATGAAGTACCTCAAACTATCATCCATTGCATAACCAATCTCCCCTACCTTCTCCTTTAAACAAATTAACCCCCACTCATCTTCTACCATATCATTAAATACACTAACACTGCTTCCTAAATATTTAGCTGGTAAATCTTGACTTATCATTCCTCCATGTCGTAGTTTAAGAGTAAAAATCCCTGAAATCAATGATTCAAATTTCCAATGCACTTTAGACAACATATAATGGTCCACTGTAATGCATACAACATGGAAGTCCACTTTACACTACTTTACAATAAATGCTTTAGAAAAAAAAAAAAAAAACAATGGTCCCCAACATATGCATAATCAGACAAACATTGGTCCACACACCATTTTCAACCACAAAAAGGTCCCCACATGTACCTATACTAAGCACAATATACAACAAACAACACATAAATTATATACTAAACAACACAACACAGACATTCGGATCCCACATGTACCATTTCGTTCTCCTACACCATAAAAACAAGTCGGGGAACCAAACTTACCTGCTGGAGCAGAGTTGCGACCAACGCTAGCTTGCTTCCCTCTCGATTCCATCAATGTTCTTCGTTCGTTCTCTCCCAAGCTTCTCAGCGACTACGATTATGGTTTAAGATGGGAAAATTTGGGGATTTTCATTACCCAGCTTGCTTCCTTCCCTCGAGATTCTTCTTTCTCTGCGATTAGGGTTGGGCAAATGTGGGGATTTTAGAGAATAAAATGGATATTTGAGTATTTCTCGTATAAGATGAGTATTTTTTTATTTTATTTCACGTATTAAAGAGTACAAATACGCATAGTAAGTAAAAGTACCAATATGCCCTTGAAATTGACGCTGACTTAACCACCCATTGATGGAAGGACCTCAATTGGAAAAAAATTTAATAGACGGGTGGTTAAATTGTCCAAATTAAAAGACGGGGACAAAATCTGGAAAATTATCATACTCGGGGGACCATTGCTGGAATTAACTCTATCAAAATATGGTAATTTTAGTCTTTGAAAAATAATAAAAGATTATCCATCATTAAAATAAAAAATAAAACATTTTAAACTTTTGTTTGTAAAAAAAAAAAAAAAAAACGAAAAACAAAATGAAATGCATCCAGTTTCAAATTTAACTTTTAATATTTTTTCTTAAATTGATTGTTACCATTTTCTTCTTCCTCAAATTCTTTATCAAGCTTTGAATATTTGTTTTTCTTTCCAATTTGCACTATTTTCTGCAACGCATCACACATAAACTGCATTAATATTTTTATATAAAATTTTATGCACTTTAATTTCAATTTAACAAAGTTTATTTGGATTAAATTGTCAGTTTTGGGAGTTATAATTTAAATTTAACTTTGAGAATGCTAATAAATTCTTAATTTCCTATAAATATACTTTGTTAGGTAACATGTCATAAAAAAAACTCCTATGTACTCTCTCAATTCACTCTAAAGTTCTCCAACACTTCTATAATTTTCAAAATGTTCATTTGTTCAAGTTCATTGAACATGATATATTTGAGTGCTCAAATATATTCGTCGATAATCAATTGTATCTTAGAAAATTGACGCTTCAATACTTCAAAGTAGAAATACATAGTACAATTCAAAAAAGAAAATAAAAAAAAAATTATTCAGTTAATTTCATATTTGGTTGTTGTCTATTTGTCTATGATAACATTTTTAAGTTTATTGCTCAACTAATAATTTATAAGTAATATTTTGCTTTTAACTTTAATGAATTTAGTAATATTTTGGCTTTAACTTTAATGATATTTTCAAATTTAAATCTTTTGTTATCAATTTTGTTTCATCTAGCCATCGTTAAAAAATTTGAAGGTTACAATGTAAATGATTATTTTTAATAGATTTTTAAAATTACTAATTTCTTAATTGACTCTATTAAAATTTTTTCAATGTACTTAACTAGTTTAGTGTGAATTTGTGTGCCAAGCATTATGTTTGAATATAGCTACTACTAGTTTGAATATAGCCTACTAGAGAAACACTCCCGACTGGTAAATATAACATGTACAATTTACAAAATAATAATTTTATCTTTCAGTCTTTAAATTTTGAGAAATTGAGAACAAATTAGTGATAAAAAACTAAAATTGTAACTCTTATCAAAGCAAAAATTGGTGTCAGACTATTTCACAGATTCTTGAATGTGAGACGGGTTAGGTCAAAATAAAAATATAATATGTATACTGAAAAATGTGATAATAATAAGGAATAAAATGTTTATTACTTATATGAGAAATTGTAATACTTTTGAAAAAATATAATACTTTTACATTTAGATTTAAAAGTATTACATTTTCCTCATAAATATTACATTTTCTCTTATAAGCAGTGTTGAAAAAGATTCTAGGCACCCAATTTTTATTTTATTTTTATTTTTATTTTTATGGGTTATTCTTAAAAAAAAAAAAAAAAAAAAAACCGAGGTTCGGCCGCATAGGCCGCCTAGGTGTCCGGCCGCGGAGGAGGTCGATTTCGGCGTTTCTCGACGCGCCCGGGCGTCGCCTAGCGCCTAGGCACGATTTTTTCAACCATACTTATAAGTAACACTAGTTTTTTTACGCGCTTTGCGCGAATGTAATAATGCCCAACAATTATTTTTAAATAAATATATCAATGTAATATTATATAAGAGATGTTCAAGCATAGGTAAATAAATGTTGAATTTGTTTATTTAAATCGGTAATTTAAAGTATATAAATGCAATATAATATATGAGAGATTGATTATAATTGTCACTAAAATAAATGTTTACAACTTTGTAATAACGCTAGTCTAAATACTTAGTCTAAGTGATAGTCTAAATAAATACTACTATTGGTTTAAATTTCTCTAATTATTTTTAATTCTCTTTTGGGTAGCATTGCCATTATTTTCATCTTCAGTACATGTTTTTTTTTTTTTTTTTTTTTTTTTTTTTTTTTTTTTTTTTTTTTATTGGTAATGTGTCATGTGCAATTAGGTTACTGGTGGCCTGACAGCATAGAGGGATTCATCATGCAATGAGACTATGGTGTATGAAATTTTAGATTTGCCTTGTTGTGTATATAACTGAGATTTTATTTGTAATATGAACTCTTTATCTTACAAACACCTATTGATATTTAGTAGTGATAGTTTTTCCCCTACATGTTTCATGTTTTGTGAGATGTGTGTCGTAGGTTATCATGTGAAAGTATTGAACAAAATATTAATATTTATTATATTTGTATAAAATACTTGGTAAATAAATATATATAACATGTTTTGTATTATAACTTTGATATTTAATTACAAGATAATGTAAAAAGAACAACAAACAATAGTGAATATAATAAATTAATAAATTTGAAGGTAATGAATCTTTGAATTGTAGAAAGTAAAGATAATATAACTAATGAAATTATATTTCTTTTAAATTGTTTTTATAATGAATAAATTTTTTAAATAAAGCATTATAGACATCTAATTCTAAATTAATTAAATGCATATGTATTATTTTTGTTGTAGCTACTAATTTATTCAATTTAATAAGAGTTATAAAGTGTCGTACATACTTTTCATCAACAATAATGAAATCAATGATTTTTTTTTTTATTTCCATTCCTTGTTGAGACAAATTGTTTTGAGACAAAAAAAAAAAAAGAAAAAAAAACTTAACCTAAATTTGTTTTTAAAAAAAATAAAAAAAATTCAAGAAAATCAAATGATTTTAAAGTAGTTCTTGATTTATAATCTTTGATGCTCAACTTTGAATGCTATATATTTAGTCGGGCTAATTATTTGACCAAAGTTTATGTTAAATTTTATATTATATATTTTTAATACATTTTAACATATTCATAATATATGTTTAACAATTATGCCAACTATAATTGGGATGAGGTTCGAACCTAAAACCTTTCTTATATAAATTAATGAGTATGTTAAGAATAATAAATAGTTAACGGAATATTCCGTTACTAAAGTTTATACTAACGGAATTTAGGGTTATTTAAGGGAATAAAATAATATAATAGAGGGTAAATAAGAAAAATCATTAAAAGATACTAAAATCAAAATAATATGGACCATTCATTTTAAGAAACAACTACTACAGACATTTTTTTTTGTTCCAGTTAAGGGCCTAACATTATTGGATCTTATTAGATTTGTAGATGTAGATGTAGAAATACTTGCCAACATTACTTATAAGGGAAAGTGTAATAATTTTTTATGACAATGTAATATTTTTACATCAAGATATAAAATAATAAAAGTAATACATTTTTTCTCAAAAGTGTTACACTTTCCCTTATATGTAACAAACACTTTATTTCTTACTAGTATTATATTTTTCAATATAAATATTATATTTATTTATTGATCCGATCCAAATCAACTCATCTCACACAAGTGTGATCCCTTATCAAAATTAAGGAAAAAAAATTCTTATCACAAAATTAAATGTAAAATATGGTCAAATTATTAATTAAAAATTACAATTAAAAAATGCATTGAGAATTGAATATGAAATTAACTCAATATTTATTTTGTTTGAAGAGAAATGAAATTAACTCAATACTTATATTCTACTATTTTTTTAAAGATTCTAAATTCCCAAACTGTCTTATTTCCAAAACCCTTCCACTGAACTCTCCCTGTGAAATTCCAGCTGACATACCAACAAATCTTCGAAGCTCTACTCTTCCTTTCTCTTTCCGATCATGCGTACGTTAGCGGCGAGGTTAAGTACGGTAAGCCATCTGCTTCTTATTTTCTTTTGGAACAGTCTAAAATCTGACCCTGATCTCTGCAACTTTCATTCTTGATAAGTTATCATTGGATTATTTAATGCAGCATATTTTCAGAAGCAAGGCAGTGAATTTTCAACCCCAGAAGAAATTTTCTGCATCTAGCTACGGAAGAGGTGATACCCTTATTCCTCTCTTTTATTAATCTGAATTATTTGAAAAATTGGTGCACCATTGTGATCGGTTTTCCGGGGAAGATGGACCGGCCTAGTGTGGTGTTATTGTGGACATTGGGTAGGATGTTGATGGTCTATTGAGATTTTTATCTGACATGCTTGGTTAAGAGCCTAAGGAGTTTTTCGCACTTTTAGTCCCACGACTATAGTGGTACTATCAGGATTGATCCACTACTTTTAAACCTTCAATCTCGGTCCACGACTATTGTTTTTATTTTATTTGCAAAAATGGGCTGGAGTAAGAACCATTTCCGTCCAAAGCGGGCCGGAAATTTGATGAAAAATGGGCTGGAAGAACCATTTTTGCAAAAAAAAAAAAAAAAAAACAATAGTCGTCCGAGATTGCAAGGTTTGAAAGTCGTGATCAATCCTGATAGTGCCACTATAGTTGTGGGACCAAAATTGCGAAAAACTCAGAGCCCAGGTTGGAAATTGGGTGTATTTGAAATCCTATGAGCTGGGAGTGTATATGCAAATGAGAGTAAATAATGATTAATGAATGTTGTGTTGTTTACAACTAATCTATTTGGGGCTTAGAATTTATCTGCCAAGTGGATTTTTTTACACTTTAATCGAAATTAAGGTAGTTTTTGATGCAAATCATAATGTTTTGTGTGTGTGTGTGTGGGATAAGAATAAGTTTTTGTTTCATTATCCGCCCTGCTGTGTTCTTTGCATCCATTCTTATCACACATTTTTATTTTTGTAGATGAAAGATCCATAGAAGAAGAGGCTGAAAGGAAAATAGGGTGGCTGTTGAAACTGATTTTCGCTGGGACTGCAACAGTTGTAGCTTATCAGTTTTTCCCATACATGGGTGTGTGTGTGTGTGCAATTTTTGAACTCAACAATTCCTAGAATTTATAGTTATTTTCATATTTTTCTGATTGATTTTGATAATAATACAATTTGAGCGTTTTAGGGGACAATCTGTTGGAGCAGTCTGTGACACTTTTACATGTCAAGGATCCCTTGTTCAAAAGAATGGGAGCGTCCAGATTGGCTCGTTTTGCCATTGATGGTATGTTTGGGCTAGAATATCCCGAGGTTAATATTAGTGAGTAGTGATTTGCTTTGTGTTTGATACATGAGTAATGTGTGTATTTTGAAACTTTTTCTGTGAGCAAAATAGGTGATATGGAAATTGCATGGTGCTTGGGCCTATATTCTTTACAATATGGATTCTTGTTTCATTCTACTTAAATAACTTTAATCAGCATTTGGTTTATACAGAGGCAAAGTTTTTAAACACTTTTTACCCTTATAAAGGAATACTTTTCAAAGTTAAACATTTGTTAGTTACTACTTGATTCAAGCTCCAAGATCTGTTGAAATTACGTGTCTAGAATATTCCAAGTGATTAGAGAGTCTTGATTAATATATTGTCAAAACTCAAAAGGAATGAGTTTTGCATTTGCTGGAGGGTGTGGTTGAGTGGGAGGGACTCATCCATCCTTAACCAAAGGTCAAGGGTTCGATCCTTGGCTTTGGGAATGGAGCAACCTTAAATCTCCAGGCCAGCGGTCCCACGCTAAAGAGGTGCTTACAATCAGCGAGGGGATTAGTCATTGTGTCTGACGGTGGAAAGTTCAGCGAGGGGATTAGTCACTGGAAAGTTCAGCGAGGGGATTAGTCACTCACTGTTTCCGACGGTGGAAACCCTGGGTATACCCAAAAAAAGTGACTAGGTTACTGTATATGAACATGATACGTGAACAAGAGATCAAAGTTAGGCTGTTTTCATATTATAGTAATATTTCTGTTGTGGATCTCAATCACCATGTCATTAGGCTATTTGTATGCAGTTGAACCTACAACCTGATGGACTTCTAAATTATAATTTTTAAAGAATTGTATGGAGTTTGATTTCTCTTATTGGCTATTACCCAGGCATGCAAAAGCTAAAAAATTGGCAAGCATAAATATTTGTGTTGCAATACCTATGATGCTAAGACGATGAGGTTTATTCGTTTAGGTAATTAATAATAAAAATTGGAAATGTGCAGACCATGGCTTTGTTTATGTTCAATTTTGGATCATTAACTGAAGTGAACTTGATGATGCTCTAGTTTATCTCTCATTTCTAGTATGTTCTTTGGCTTTCCAGATGAAAGACGGATGAAAATTATTGAAATGGGTGGAGCTCAAGAACTTCTGAAGATGTTGGAGGCTGCTAAAGATGACCGCACTAGGAAGGAAGCTTTAAAGGCTCTTTTTGCTATCTCAAAATCAGGCAAGACTCTCAAACTTACACGCATTTTTCTTTAAAATGATTTATTTAATCATTCTTAAACTGTTTTTGTTCAGGGATTACTGAAATCTTGCAAACGAACCTTTTGCTTTTTCCTTAAACACAACGATTGTATAGCAAAAGTAGCATATTCAGGGGTTGGTTCTTCTAATGTCTGTTATAACGTAACGGAATGAACCTGAGATTAGTTGAAGTCCAATGTGGTTACTGCATTCTGGGGTCATGCTACCCGAAATAAAAGGGTACCAATCTGATCCTCGTTGAAAACCTCTATAGACTAGTGGATGAGTGAAATTGATTACAAACCATATCAGCATTTGATCTCTATAACCCTTTTCCGGTGCCAATTCCTTTGCCATTTCTGCATTCTTCTTTGAGGGTTAATTCATCGTAACTCATACTAAAACCTCCCACTTTTCTGCAGATGAAGCTGCTGCGGTCTTGCAAGTCGGTGGAGCAATATCAGCTATCAAGTCCACCCCTGGTTCCCTGGAGGATGCTGAAGTTGAGAAATACAAGTCAAATTTGTTGAATAGATTCCAAGTTTTGAGATATGATGTTGGCTCTGACCCTTAGATGTAATTTATCTTGTTTCTATTGCTTTCTTTTAGCTTTTATTTTTACTCATTAGTGACACTGATGGACAGAAATTTACTTGACATGTTAGCAACACCAATAGTAGGGTTTTTTTGCAGGCCACATAGGATTAGGTGGGAAGAGAAAAACAAGGGAAAAAAAGGAAAATACTACATGTACTTTCATTTTTTACTCTTAACTAGTATTTTCACCTGTGCGATGCACGTAATGAAATTGTTGTAATATATTAAGAATATTTAAATTGATATATAATTATTTAAGAGTTAATTTCACCAGAATTCGCTTATCTCCTGATACTTTACAACCTATAAAAAAAAAATTAATCGCCGGTTAAAATTGCAGGATTTTGTTTTTATATATAGTATAGATGTATAGATAGATAGATAGATTACAATAGAAATTGTATTACAGTATTTTTATAATATTAGAACAGAATTTTAACCCAGAATTATTGTACGAATAGGAAAGTAGAAATCAATATATTTTATCATGAAGAGAGATTTTTTAGGAATTGGGCAGGAAGTTAAAATTGCAGAATTTTGTTTTTTATATAGTATAGATAGTATTTTTTTTTTTTTAAATATATAGTATAGATAGTATAGATGTATAGATATCATAGATAGATTACAATAGGAATTGTATTACAGTATTTTTATAATATTAGAATAGAATTTTAACCCAGAATTATTGTGCGAATAGGAAAGTAGAAATCAATATATTTTATCAGGAAGAGAGATTTTTTAGGAATTGGGGGGAAGTTAAAATTGCAGGATTTTGTTTTTATATATAGTATAGATAGTATTGATAGTATAGATGTATAGATAGATAGATTACAATAGGAATTGTATTACAGCATTTTATAATATTAGAATAGAATTTTAACCTAGAATTATTGTACGAATAAGAAAGTAGAAATCAATATATTTTATCAGGAAGAGAGATTTTTTAGGAATTGGGCGGGAAGTTAAAATTGCAGGATTTTGTTTTTATATATAGTATAGATGTATAGATGTATAGATAGATAGATAGATTACAATATGAATTGTATTACAATATTTTTATAATATTAGAATAGAATTTTAACCCATAATTATTGTACGAATAGGAAAGTAGAAATCAATATATAATATCAGAAAGAGAGACTTTTAAGGAATTGGGCGGGAAGTTAAAATTGCAGGATTTTGTTTTTATATATCGTATAGATGTATAGATACATAGATAGATTACAATAAGAATTGTATTACAGCATTTTATAATCTTAGAATAGAATTTTAACCCAGAATTATTGTACGAATAGGAAAGTAGAAATCAATATATTTCAGTTGGGGAAAATTCGGATAGTATATGTCGTAGACCTGGGGCTACTGTTTTTTATAGGCTGAGAATGGATGAATCCTGAAGGGATCGGTGACGTGTGCAAGACACTACCTTAAAAGCAAAAATTTCCCGGAGACGGTTGTAGTCTTACCGGTTGATTTCGACCAGTTAACACCGAAGCTCAGGATTGCAGAAGAGAAGAAGATAATTTGATGAGTGAATAGAACTGAGGAGAGGCAGGGTATTTATAGTATTGGAAATACCCGACCCTCCCCTCTCAGCCATTCATGCTCCACGATTTTTGGAAGAGTTGTGGTGAAAATGCCCACAAGAATAGGAAGACTTGTTCCACCACAACTTAATGTGTGGATGGTAGATTTCTACATGAAATCTACCTCTAAAAAGGAAAAAACTCGGAATTAAAATAAAGTCCGAGTAAAACGCTGACCCCACCCCACCCCACCGCGACGCGCGTGGGTGCGAACCGAACCGGGCCGGGCGGGCGGCGGCGGCGCGCGTGTGGGGTTTCCTTTCCTTCTCTCTCTACAATAGTTTAAGCCTTCCAAATGGGTTGGTATTAAAAAGGTGGGAATTAGTCCCTTACCCTTCCAATGTGGGACAAGAGTGTCTTCCTTCTACACACTTTAAACCACCATCTTGAATGTAATCTCCAACAATCCCCCACACATTCAAGGTGGCAAGAAGAAGACGGAATTTCTGGCATGAGTGCTGATCGTAATGTCAGTGGTTGTACCTTGAACTGACACGTAGTGACTTGAGTAACTTTCTCCTTTGATAGTGAATTAGATCTTGAACTATCGAAAGAAGAGTTAGTTTTGAACTCAGTTCACACACCAGCAGTCACCCTGTAAGTATGTATAACTTGGTCTTTCTCGTAAGGTCAACTCTTTGACCTGAGACCTATCTCTTAATAGGTGTGTTTAGGTTCCAGGTTTATATAACCTCGAAGTTTGCTCACTGTATTGCTATTAAGCCCATCTCCCTCGATGTTTCGAGGATGGCTCTTTTGTTTAGCCCCTTCGTGAGAGGATCTGCAATGTTCTTTTCGGATTTCACATATTCTAGTGAAAGTACGCCACTTAGAATTAGTTGTCTCACAGACTCATGTCTGACTCTTATGTGTCTCCTCTTACCATTATAGGCACTATTTTTGGCTACGCATATCGCAGCTTGCGAGTCACAATGTATGTGCACTGACGGCGTAGAAGACCCCCACAACGGCACGTCTGCCAGTAGGTTTCTAAGCCACTCAGCCTCTTGCCCTGCTAGATCAAGAGCTATAAATTCAGCTTCCATCGTTGATCTGGCTATGCACGCCTGTTTCGTGGATTTCCACGATACTGTTTCGTGGAGCTCACCTCATCACTATCATTCACCCAATTCGCATCGCAATACCCCTCTAGGGACGCTGGGAAGCCAGAAAAGTGCAATCCCCAGTTCATCGTTCCCTTTAGGTAGCGTAACACTCTCTTTAGTGCATTCCAATGGGTATCGCTGGGATTATGAGTGTATCGACTTAGTCGATTTACCGCAAGTGCAATATCCGGTCTGGTATAGTTCATTAAGAACATCAGACTCCCAATTATTTTCGCATATTCCTCTTGAGACACACTTGCCTCTGTGTTCTTCGAGAGTTTTGCACTTGGGTCATATGGAGTTTGCGCAGGGTTCACTTCAAAACTGTTAAACTTCTTTAGCAGTTTCTCTGTGTAGTGACCCTGTGATAACTTCTAGCCATCTTTCTCTTTGATGACTTTCACTCCAAGTATCACATCGGCTTCGCCCATATCTTTCATATCAAACTTGTCATACAGAGACCTCTTTGTCTCTTTTATTGCATTTATATTTGAGCTAAAGATTAGCATATCATCTACATAAATGCAAATCAAGACAATGCTAGACTCAATCTCTTTTGAGTACAAACAAGCATCTGATCGGTTTACCGTGTATCCCAGATCTAACAGTGTTTTGTGGAACTTCTCGTACCACTGTTTGGGAGCTTGCTTTAACCCATATAGGGATTTTACTAGTCTACATACCTTCCCTTCTTGCCCGGGGTTGGCGCATCCAGGAGGTTGAGACATGTAAATTTCTTCTTCCAGGTCTCCATTTAGGAAAGCTGTTTTTACATCCATTTGATGGACTAGCCACTTGTGAGAAGACGCTAGAGCAAACAATATGCGTATTGTGGCTATTTTTGTTACAGGGGAATAGGTGCAGAAGTAGTCCTCACCAAACTTCTGTTTATATCCCTTAGCCACAAGTCTTGCTTTGTACCTTTCAATCGACCCATCGGGTCTCATCTTCCTTTTGAAGATCCACTTACAGCCAATAGGTTTGGCTCCCTTCGGTAGGTCTACAACCTCCCAAGTGTGATTAGATTTGATTGAATCTAGCTCACTTTGTATTGCTTCTTTCCAGAAGACCGCATCGACTGAGCGCATAGCTGCCTCAAAGGATTTTGGTTCCTCCTCTAGAATTAACTGACACACAAACTGATCAGAAATTTCATTAATGTCATTTACTTCAGAAATGTACGTAATGAAATCAGGCCCAAAACTTGTCTCGGTCCTTTTTCTCTTACTCCTTCTAGGTTCTTCTGACTCAATTTCTGTTTCAGAAGTTGAAGGTAGTGAGGACGAGACTTTTTCATAGGTATTTGATCCACGTTTTAGTGGAAATATGTGTTCGAAGAACTCGGCCTCTCGTGCCTCGCACATAGAGTGGCCGTCTAGGTACATAAATCTATATGCAGCGCTATTTTCTGCATACCCCACAAATATTGCATCTGAGGTTTTAGGGCCAAGATTAGGTTTCTTGAAGTAAGGAAGACCTACCTTAGCCAGGCACCCCCACACTTTGAAGTATTTTAGATTGGGTGCGTAACCTTTCCATAGCTCATATGGAGTTTTTTCATAACCTTTGTGAGGTATCCTGTTGAGGACGTGGTTAGCTGTCAATGCAGCTTCCCCCCACAAAGAGTTAGAAGCACATGCGCTTATTAGAAAGGCATTTATCATTTCCTTTAGGGTTCAATTTTTCCTTTCAGCCACACCATTTTGTTGTGGTGTATAAGGTGCTGTCACCTCATGGATGATTCCATGTTTTTCACAAAAGGTTTTGAGGGAGGTAGACTCATACTCTCCACCCCTGTCAGACCTGAGTCTTTTTATATATAGTATAGATGTATAGATAGATAGATAGATTACAATACGAATTGTATTACAGTATTTTTATAATATTAGAACAGAATTTTAACCCAGAATTATTGTACAAATAGGAAATTAGAAATCAATATATTTTATCAGAGATTTTTTAGGAATTGAGCGGGAAGTTAAAATTGCAGGATTTTGTTTTTATATGTAGTATAGATAGTATAGATGTATAGATATCATAGATAGATTACAATAGAAATTGTATTACAGTATTTTTATAATATTAGAATAGAATTTTAACCCAGAATTATTGTGCGAATAGGAAAGTAGAAATCAATATATTTTATCAGGAAAAGAGATTTTTTAGGAATAGGCCGGGAAGTTAAAATTGCAGGATTTTGTTTTTATATATAGTATTGATAGTATAGATGTATAGATAGATTGATTGATTACAATAGGAATTGTATTACAGCATTTTTTAATATTAGAATAGAATACTAACCCAGAATTATTGTACGAATAAGAAAGTAGAAATCAATATATTTTATCCGGAAGAGTGATTTTTTAGGAATTGGGCGGGAAGTTAAAATTGAATGATTTTGTTTTTATATATAGTATAGATGTATAGATATCATAGAAA